AAACCCTTATACGATCAATGGACATGGAAACAAAAGGAAACAGTGGAAGTTAGAAGATAGATGAGAACTTGTAAGGAGGGGCTTGTTATTCAGATTTCAAAAGACTATTGAACCTCACACCTTCTTTGTAATCATAGCTTGTGAACGAAATATTCAAATATCTTCAGTTTACTTATGACTTAGACTGGTTAGTTGGTGTGGCCAATATTAGCCACCACAGGACCAAACTGGTTGTTAATTTACATCAACACTGTGTTTTGTGTTGAACAAAATGCAGATAATATCACCCAGCTTTAATGAATTATGATCTGTTTTAAAACTTTGTCTACAAATGCATTTGTCTTAGTTCAACTTGAATTGCTCTCATTTCAATGTTAAAAAAAATTATTATATGATCTAAGCTACAGGAGAATATTTCACCAAGATGAAAGGAGATTTTTCTGCTTTTAATACTGTCTGTTACTTAAGCTCCAGTATATGTTTATATAGCTTGTTTTGTGACTTAAATCTAAGCTCATTTGTCTTTAACCAACATATAGCTTAGGTATTTCATTAAAAAATATAGAGCTAAAAGTTTGTGATAACTTATATCCGTATGAATTAACTTCAAATCAAAATACATTTCAATGATAAAACAGGGCCTGTCAAGAATAATAACTCATTATTTCATCACTTTACAATTCAGATTGATGATCTCAAAGTTGTTTTAAAGTAAAATATTCTGTTTTTATTTTTAAGCATTTTAGTACTTAAAAATAATTTTAAAAGTTAAAACATTGAAGTTAACAAGTTAAAAAACAATTGACAAATACCTCATATTTGTAATGTTGATTTTAAAAACTGCAAAAGTATACCATGTCTATTATCTCATCTAAATAATAGAAAAAATTTTAATAATTTTTTATTTATATAAAAATGAAAACACAAACATGCTTTTAAAAGGTATATCTTTGTGCATTTTGAAAATGCCTTTATTATTCCTGAAACGGTTGATTCAAAGCATGTGCCATTTGGTGAGTAGGTTTCACTCATAATTTTGTAATTGCACTATTTGTTTATGGCTTTATTAGTTGTATCCAAATTGAGAAATTTGTGCAATGTCCATCAAAATAGTGACCCTATCAAAACTAAGTTAACTGATAAATCCATTGAAAAGACAAGACAACGAATTCATTATCATGAGCCCCTTAAATACTCAGATCTTGGTGACTTTGTCTTGGTACCTCTGACACTGGGCAGAATTTATTTCTTATGAGCTAATAGTACTAATGGTTCTGCCCACGGCCCAGTTTTTATACAGTATATGAGTCCCAGTAGATCTTCTTGTAGAGAATAACCATGTGATAACACACCACTCTGACTTGATCTGAATCTCAAATATTTTCCTGACAGGATAGTTATATTTATAATTGTGAAGTTATTTATGGGAAAATGAACAGGTATTTCTCTTTACAACTTGGGTAGTACAAACATTAGGGCAGGCAGGAGGACATAATTAAAACAATTGTTTCAAGTTAGTAATAGAAAATTACTATAATATAGCCTGAATAAGGCTATATTTAGTAGCCTTGAGAATATTTTTCCAATCAAGGACATTACTCTTTTTATCTTTATCAGACACAAAAAATTAAATTAATATTAAGGTATAAGGGGTGGGATATATAGAAAAACAAAGGCCAAGTTTGCAAAAACATGAAAAAAATCTCCGTAACAATAAGAGGTCTGGAACACATAGTTTTAAGACAATGTGCTCTATAGCAAAAAATGAAGGGGATATACCTTGCTAAAAAAGTACCAGGAAATATGGCTAAAATGAAAATTTCTAGGGTTCCTTATGAGAGAAAAATATTTTCTAAAGTCATTTCATTTTCATAAAGAATATAATTTTTTCTACAATATAATCAATCTTTGACATATAGTTTTTCCTTCTACCCTCGAAGTGGATTTATTGATACTATTACAGTCTAGAGTAGTGCTCAATAGAAAGATAATGAGAGCGTAGTAATTTTAAGCTTTCTAATAGCTTTTTTTTTTAAAGTGAAAAGGAAATGGTGAAAATAATTTTGACAATACATTTTACCTAGCCCAGTATATCCAAAATATTCTCATTTTAACTGTAATCAAAATAAAATTATTAATGTGTCAGTTTATATCATTTTTTGCACAAAATCTGGTGTGTATTTTACACTGATAGCACATTGCAATTTGGGGTAGTTACAAAGGACTCAACAGACACATGTGGCTACTGCCTACTGTATTGGATAGCACAGGTCTAGTGAAACTTTCTCTTTAAAGACTTGACAATTCACCTACAGTATTTTTTCTTGCCTTCAATCCTTTCGTCAATGCACACTTGTTTACATACTGTTTGACTTTAAGTGTTAGTCTAAGACAGCATGAACTTGAACTTCTTTGAAGTGCTTGACATATTGTTTGTTAATACAGAATTAATAATTACATTAAATAAAAAGGGGTCCAGCAAACTCTGAGTTCAGGTCACCTGGCCAACTCCTGTGTTTTGTTTGGTTTGGTCAATGTACTATGAATGACTTCCCTGGAGTCTGTTTGGCTAAATCCCTCTCGAAGAGATCATAATAATCACACAATACAAGAAAATTCTTCAGTGTAAATTATTCTGCAGTTACAATCTGTTGGATAAACAGTTACTAAACAGGTAAGGAACTCAGTGTTTCAAGGACGTGTCTGTACTTTATCCATTGTGATTGTCCCAAGGACGCCACAGAGAGAGCAGCAATCGGCTTCAGCCATATCTGAAATCTATGAATGAGCAGCTGGCATCGGCATACCAGTGATGAAGATGAGTCGATGTATTCAGCGGTATGTAGTGCTATGTCATAAGGGGCTTTACAGAAGACACTGGGACAAACACGTTTCAGGACTAATGCGCTCACATGTGTAAGAATGTGGTATGGTACACGGACTGATGCTGTGGTTGCCATGAGGAGTACTCACTTTTTCAGATCATTCTGCTGCTTTGGGGCTTGTGCATAGCAGGGAAGAAGCCACTGTGTACAGTGGAAAAAGTATATCAACTAAGAAAACTGCGTTTGACTGAGAAATAATTGTATCACGGCCGTCACTGAATTCATTTCATAAAATGATCAACACAACAGGTGCATTACGTGTTATGAATCAGAACTCTGTTTGCTGATTCATAAACGTGCCAGTATGCAACAAGAATAAGATGCATCAAAGAAAGCATTGTATAATCTTCATGCAGTAAAATTGTAACTAATATCTCAAAAACAGTTAATGCAACATTCGACAGGGATTAAATAAGGAACTTGGTACACACAAATGTTCTGAATATGAGAAAATGGTAATCACAATTTTTTTTCTAAATTAAAAAATACTGTTTTGCATTAAATTTTAAATTCAAGCTTAGGTGACAATGGTAATTTTGGACATTTAAAATGGATTACTGGGAAGCACATACCAAATGCAAGGGTTGGGGGAAAAGGAATTTTGCGAACTAGACCCTGTCCTGAATTGTGATGTCCTGAGATGATGCGTTGTAGCAAAACTATGCCAATTCCAACTCTGGATAGGTCTCATCTATGGATGTATGTGGTTCTGTCCTTAGCCGAGAACTTAAAGTGGTTCTCACTTCCCTCAGCATCGACCTGAGAAACTATGGGCTGAGTATTTTGAACATGGATTCTTCAAAGGGCAAGAGATCAATGTAAAACTGTATATGTTTTACTATGCAAATTGTGTAAAGAATGGAGCCCTTGGTAAATATCAAGCAAATTTCTTTCCCACCACGACTGTGTCATTGGGAAGAAGCATCTCTTTTTTCATGGATAAAAAAACTCACAACATAAAACTTATCCCAAAGTCCTGGGAATCATTAATAACTTTTTAAAATACTCAATGTTGATGTTATATGTTGTTATAATTTTCGTTCCTTACAACATAGCGTTTAGAATAAAGAAAACCACACATGTTGGCAGCAGCTGGGGATATGCTCCGATGCTATTCTGAAAGTAAGTTGCCATAATTTAGCTTTTGAGATAAATGCCTTTCATGAGGACTGCACATGGACATTTTTCTAATTGTAGACGCGTTCATATAATTGGAACTGAATAACTGCATTTACTACTGCATTATGGAAAAAAAAGGAAATATTTAAGATAACAACCTAATCTAAATTATAAGATAAATGCAAGTAAAAATATTTTTCATTTAAGAATTTAAAACTGATAGTTCCACAGAGTGGTGATGGGTATATTATACATATTTATGTGGATTTTACAGGGTGTTTCAAAAGTCCCTGAGGACATACAGGATTCACAGTCTCAGCATGTCTTCGCATATAAATGCAAACTTTTTTCTATATTTGCTATAATAAATGCTGAAAATGGCTCTCATGTGCTTATAAATAGAGATTTTTTGTTGTCAAGGTCACTAAGTAGAAGAGGGGTCACAGATGCCATTTTCTGCAGGGGGACTCAGGGACTTCTGGCTCAATCCTGTAAATTAGTCACCCACATAAATATGTATAGACATATATGTAGTATGCATAGTCACAACATAAATATATTTAACATTTAAGAAAATTTAGATATTCTACTGGTAAACTGACATATGTATACCATATAACTTGTATTTATTCAAAGGAATTTTATTTTTTTGGTTGTTGTTTTTCAAATGTATCATTAGCTTAATTGTTATTTCTTTCCCAAAGTTATTAACAAAACTCCTTTATAAAGAAGCAACATATTTTACTTGCACATACATTTTTAAGCTGAAGTTAAGTAATGAAAATTAACATTCACAAATAAATAACTAAACGATGAAATTTTTCTTAGCAATTTTCGTTTTCACTTTATAATGTATAATTGTTTCATTGAAACTGTGCTTTAGAAATTAGTTCAAGTTAATGTTTTTGGTTGGTTTTTTTTTGCTAGTTAAAAATCACAACGTCTGATATATTAACATATGTCAGCTTCCTACAGGAGCCCTATGGGTCTGCCCACCTGTGATGTCATAGTAAGGAGGGGCTTTTCTTCAGCAGACTCCTCCCTCGGTATCTCCTTCATCACCATGGCAACAGCCTTATCTGCCGCCCTAGAGCCTTTTCCCTATAACAGTGAAATCAACAATGACTTGTGTCAGGAGAAATCTTTAAGTTATTATTTATTACAAGATAGTCTAATGTTTCAAGACCAATCCAACATAAATGAAGAAGTAGGCTGCTGCAAGTGAATCTTGAGGCTTTTGGCTGAAGAGAAAACACACAATATCTGAAAAAAGATTGTTTGTGAACTTGAGCTACTTTTTCACCTTTACAACTGACATTTAATTTGAACATAGTACTTTATATGTATGGTATATTTTAGGCAATTTACATGACATGAACATAATTTATAGCATCTATTTAAATACAGTATGAATTGCCTGTTATGTTCATTTATAAATTATTCCTATATAATTTCTAAAACGTTTGAATGACAGGAGTCTGGGACAGGGATTGGGATCAGGGTCTGAATCCCAGGGAGGGCTTGGTGGGTGGTCTCTGGAGTATGTCATTTTTGAGTGGATTGGGCATAAAAAGAATAAAAGTGTCATAAAAACATCTCAAAAATTCTTCAGTGGTCTAATGTCACAGGAATTCACCTAGCTTACTTTGTGGAGCTAGTATGAAAAAACTTGTAACTCTCTATGTTTTTGAGACCAAATGATTTTAATAGAATTTTAAAATCTCTTTTCATTGGAGAATCTGTAAATCCAGACATAAATAAAAATGATTACTAATTGAGGCATTGATATAGATATAAATATGTAGGTATATATATTCCCTACATTTTTTTGTCTCATACAAACAGAGTTATAAACTATAAAGGGGTATGCTGGCTTTCTGTCTTTTTGGTTTACTAGATTATTAAATTTTTGAGAGTAGATGCGGCATCATGGAAAAAATGAAATAAAATACTACCTTCTTGATCCAGTTAGAAGCACCTCATACTATGTAAAAATTAAATAATCTCTAAACTCTTTAAAATCAGAAAACTTTAATTTTCTTATGTCTCTGGGCAAAGCCTCTCTGGAGAAAATAATTTTATAATAATAGCACACATGAATATCTGTGTTGTAAATCTATTTAAAATACAAATGTAGCATATAGAGATATCATAGGCCCAGAAACAAAGATGGACATATGTGGTCTGTTGTCTGAAAGGGAATTAAGAGCAATCCAACATAAATGGGAATTAGGGTTAATATGAATTCTAGAGGTTAATAAATCTTGATCCTTTCTATGTAATGCAAAAGAGTAGAATCACATTATTATCATGGTCTTGTACAGTACTTTAAGAGTTTAGAAGGTAGGTCTATTCCAGGAAGCAAGTCTGAGATGAATAAGGAGTGACTCTAATTGCATTCTACTATAACTCCTGTGCACTCAGTTTGTTATGTGCTAATCATCCATTTTCTCAGGCATTCCTTTCTAAATAACAAGTTGCAGCTTTTATTTATGAAAACAAAGAAAAACTTTACAGTTACTAGATTTTAGAATGTGTGAATGTCTTTATTTCTCAAAGTTTATTTCTTTGTTTTTAATTTTTATTTAAAAACTAGCATTATTGAATGATAATGTTTATTTCCATGATGGGATATACACTACAAGAGATTTTATTTATCAGGAGTTACTATCAAATATGTTCTGGAATGTCTCTATGGCCACAATCCTTAAAATCACTGACTACTAGAAGAATAAAGGAAAATATTAAAAACTGGGGAGCATGATGATCCCAGGTTTATTCTTTAATGACGCAATGTGAACTTCCTAAAATAGAGATGCATACAATTCTGAATTCTGGGAAAAGATTATTATGGAACTATTAAATTGTTTTACATCTTTTCAAAATATAAAAATTATTGGGATGAAACGTTACATACTATAAGCTTAGCATACCTTTATAAGCTATTCTCATTACAGGTTAAATATAGTTTAACAAATATTTTTGAGCTTATTTTTTTTCAAAAGAGCAAAATCATTTGTGAAGAATTCTTTCCATGCTCCAAGAACTTCTAATAAGATAGCAATGAACGAAGTGGCATGCTTATATTTAAATTCCTAACATACTTAAAAGAACAAATCTAACGTTACAAGGTATAATTTTAAAAAAATAATAAGAATTCAGACTCTTATCCTGAGCTAAGGAAAAAAAAAGGTCAATTGATGAGCATCTCAAAAAATTTCAGGTCAATATTTCAATACACTACTTATTTGAAATGCTACCAATCCGGAAACTACAGATAGATATTTTTCACATGTGCAACTAGAGTAGCTAGAATTAGCAACGGACATGCCATTTCACTAAAACAAACAAACAAAAAAACCAAACCAAAACAAAAATTAGTCCTTTCATGCTGAACTCTAGAACAAAGCAGTGGTCAGCTAGAAAGGTTGTATCATTAACACATGCGGTGCTTTTGATTTCTTGCAGAAAAACCCACCAAAGCCAGGGTCAGGTCACTTTTTTGAAGACAGTGCCACTTTTTCTTCAAGGTTACACCTACTACCTGAAAAGAGTCATGACACCCATGTTAGAGCCTGCTAGCAAAGTTCCCCTTTACAGCCTGTTGGCTTTGAGTCATTCCCCCGAGAGCCTCACTGTGGACACGTGTGGTGCAGTCCGAGGACAGAACAGGAAGGTCTGCCACCATGACGTTGCCACGGTTCCAGGTACAGTGTCTGAGACCACTGCCAAACCTAGCGAACACATTCATTTATCAAAGCGAGATTTCTCCCAGATCACACGGCCGCTTCCACCTGGTACCTGAAAATCAAACTGTGTTATTTCTGACTTGTCCTTGTATCTCGTGGGACAACATTTCTAAAATTCAGATCCCGACTGATAATTGAGTTGGCAATTCATAAAACTGTACAACTTGGCTTATTGGTAGTCTGTGGGGCTGACAGTAACACAACTGTAGAGGTTGTTTTTCTCTTTGTTGAAGCCAATGGCTCAAAACATTGTAAGAACTACATGCGCATAATTATCCAGACTTCAAGCTCAATTTCTAAATATAACTATACCAAAGGATAAACATTCATCTATTATTTGAAATAACATGGAGACAGCAAAAATGAACTCTTCACTGAATATACACACTCAAGCTTGTAAGTGGTTTTGGATTACATTAAGCCTGTGTGCTTTTCCATCCCATCATTCTCAGCAACAACAGAAAAGAATAGTGGCACTTTACAAGTTGATTACTACGCCCGTGACACCCTCCAGCAGTTATTTCACTCTCCTTTTTTGTAAATAAAACTTCAAAACCACCTTTTCCCACTTTCTGGGTGAGTTTCTTAAGATTTTTTTTGACTATTTTTCCCTGGTGATTTGCTGTAGAAAATTCTTCGATATTTCTCTTTATCACCTTGTTTCCTGAGCAGTGACACATATACAATTATAGCTTTTCTAACAAACAATAATAATACCTGCGAATAATCTTTTGTTAACTTCTATTATAAGACTGGGCATAAATGAATGAAACATGGAGAGTATATAGCAAGTGACACTGACATAATTAAGGAAACCCAATGCGGGCTCACTCCTCTTTCTTAAATATAGAACATGAGGAACAGAGTAAACAGCACTGGAAGTCACAGGATCTTCTCAGGCTGGACCCCAGGCTGTGCCACTGCCAGATGACGAGGAGGTGTTGGCTCCAGGCCCGTCTCAAAAGGGAAGGAATGGAAGTATTTGGAGAAGCTACTGTGTGCTGGGCACTGCTCGGTGTTGGATGTATTTATACTTATTTGTTGCATGAGACCTCTGTGGGGTATACATTGTCTTACTAGGTGGTTTGGGATATTGAGGCTCAGAGACTCAGAGACCGAGTGACTTAGTTGGTCAAGGCCTCAAAACTGGTGTGTGGCTGAGCAGGAAGGGAGCCCAGTGCCAGCCTGTGTGCTTCCTTGTCTACCTCACTGTTACTTTTTCATTGGCTTGACAGGCCAG